GAATTGAAAAGGAAGGGAGCACACAGGGAGAATGCCCTTGGCACACGCGGACTCAGGTTGTTCTTCTCTACCGTTTGCTGTTGCTACTTGGGGTAGGCTGAGAAGCGGCCACGGAAAGAAAGCAGGCCTGAGTCCCTGGAAGCTTCTCATCGGGACGTGAACCGACTGGGAAAAGGACGTTTGCAGATGTGACCAAATTAAGACTTTTGGGATGGGAGAGTGTCCTGGATTATCCTGGTGGGCTCTAAATGCCACCGTGAGTGAGTGTCCGTAGAGGAGGGAGGCAGAGGAGTTTCCACACAGGTCACGTGGGGATGGAGGAAGGGAGCTTTCCAGATGTGACCATGTGTACATGGGCAATACAACCGCAGGCCAAGGGTTGCAAGCAGAGCCAGAGCCGGGAGGAGGCAGGAGGGGCCCTCCCCAGAAGCCTTCAGAGGGAGGCCCGACCACACCTTGTGTCTGGACTTCTGGCCTCCGGAACCACGAGATGAGAAGTTTCTGTTGGAAGCCCCCAGTTTCCCGTAATTTGTAACAGTGGAAATAGGAAACCGCTGTGTTCTCATCTTTAAATTATTACCCCTTTCGAATTCTTCGAATCTCAGCAGAATCAGGGCCAAGTGGGGCTTCTACTCTTCTTGACTATCCTTGAATAACCCTGTTGAGTTTCATTGGAAAAAAAAAATGCAGTTGTACAAAATCTGCAAATTAAGGGATATTCATACTACTTCTTAAATGAAGTGAATAGTTTCTGCATTCGTTTTTAAGCTCGTTCTTTCCTGGGGTGTTGAGGCCTGGGTGTGTGTGCATTATCATGCCCTTCCTAGGCACTGAAGACCAAGGCACACAGGCGGTAACACCAAGGTCCGGAGAGGTGAGAAACGTTCCCACGTTCACAATGACAAAAAGCCACGGGACTGAGCATCAAATCTCGTCACCCAGTTCCAGGCCACATTGTTCTCTGGAAGTGCACAGTGTAATTCTACAGTAATGAAAACAGTTGGAAATAGTAACCCCGTCCAGCCTAAGAGCCTAACAGCATTTCGTGGCTTTATTGGAAGGGTCAAGACTCTTGGTCAACAAGATCTCAAGGAACCCCAGGCATCCGTTGCTCCACAGTCACACTCCAGTCTCCATCTTTGGCCAGGGAAACGGGTCCTTCCATGAAGGAGGGACCCCAGACCCCTGCCGGTGAGTGCCTGAGTGTGCCTGAGATGGCAGAGGTAAACCCCTCGGCATCACGTTCCAGCAAAGCCTTCTCCAGCGGAACATGGATGGCCCTGCTCAGGGTCCCTCAGCATGAGTGGCTCTCCAGGACGTCACAGCCTCTGCGGTGCCAGCAGCCTGTCAAGGAGTGGCTGTCCGTGTGGCCGCGGACCCCTGAAGTGCAGGCCCAGCCTTCCCATTTGGGTCTGGTCCAGAGCCTGGTGCTGTTCACCACACGCTGTTGGTGGGGGCACTGCCCAAGCCCAGCGACTTTTCTAGTGTCATTTAGATGAGCTTTTTAAAGGATCTTTTTTAACATGTGAGATCATTAGGCACACAGTGTGACGTGAAGCCGTGGAGCCCTGGCATCTGCACTGTGAGCCCCTCCTGGTGGTTCCGGTCACTGGAAGGCCGATCTCCACATGGTGGCCCTGCCTGCTGCCTCCCCCAGGCCAGCATGTCCCACTGCCACCAGAGCGTGGCCTTGGTGTGTGGCGTGCTTGGCGTCACGGGCCCTGCAATGAAATGGCTTTTCCACTGGGACTCCTGGGCCAGGACGCAGGTGGAGCATTGTCCACCCCATGCACCTTGCAGATCTGGCGGCTGCACTGGCCTCCTGGTCCTCCTGGCCCTCCCAGCCTCTCACCCTCCCGGAGGCGGAGCTCCCTGCCTGCGACTCGTGCTCCTGCTTCCCATGTCGCCCTCACCTAAGATAAGTCCCATGTCCCTTGCCCAACAGGTGGTGACTTTATTTCCATCCAACTCCATTCCTCAGCAACCCCCAGCGCAATCCGGCATCCCTGTGCCCACGCAGGCTCGTTCCCCCGTCTTTCTGTTGCCCACCAAATCCCCCAAAGCTCAGGGCAGCCCCACGTTGAGCGCAGGCCATGCTGGGGCCATGGATTTTCCCGTAATTGCCGTTCCACACCTGGTGAGTCCCAGAGACTTTGGAACCGCGGACTTTCCCGTAATTGCTGTTCCACACCTGGTGAGTCCCGGAGGCTCTGGAACCGTGAATTTTCCCAGAATTGCCGTTCCACACCCGGTGAGTCCCGGAGGCTTTGGAACACGGTTTCTAACACGCGCAGGCTGATTTCTAACGCTCACGCGCGTGGTATTGCTTTCTCCCCAGAGAGGATCTGAGCCTTTGGGGGCCGGGAACTCAATTTTGCTGCAGCTTCTTCTTTAGTCGGATGAGGCTGGGAGAACCTTCCCCGGCCCATCCTCAAGCCCGACGGATCCGGCCCGGTGCTCTCGACGGCCTCTTCACCCCGGGGCTCTCGGAGCCGCCCTCCTCTGCAGTTGTCTGTTAACACGTTTCCACTTCGGAGGAGCTTCGCACGGAGAGCACAGCGATTTTCTGACCTAATCGCACCCCCCTGTGCGGCCGCCTTCGCTCCACAGTTACTTTCGGTGACTTTGCAGCCTCCTGCCCCGCTGGGCCCAGCTCTCTGCTCCTGAGTCCCGGTCCCTCCGCTCCTGAGGCCGTGAGCTTGGCCGTCTCTGTGCCAGGACTGGGGCCTGGGCTCAGCTCCCCGGCGGCACCGCAGGCAGCGCGGGACCCCGAGCTCACACGCGGGCATCGCCGGCCTCACACGCAGCCCGTCTTCCAGGACGTTCTGCCTCCCCGCACCTGGCCGGGACCCTCAGGCTCAGCCCTGGGGGTGCCTCCCCGACGGCTCCTGTGGCTCCTGGTTCACCTGGAGTTGTCCCCGCCGTGTTCCCCGCTACCGTGAGTCCCATGCAGGGGCGATGTCTTCCCTCAGGCGGGCAGGTGCACCCGGGACAATCAGCAACCATTCTCTCCTCAGAGGAAAGAGGAGGGGTCCAGCCGTCCTCTGCTTCAGCTTCAAGGTTTTAAGACTAAATTGTCTTTGTTTATTTTCTATGCAATAGTACAAGGGAAAGATTGAAAAGAGTCGCAGTGAGGCCACGCGGATTTCCACCCTGTACAACAAACAGCAGCGTCTGCAGAGAAACACACGCTCGGCCTTGAGCCAGTTGGATCGTGTCATTCAGGTAAAAACAGCTTCACCAGAAGCCAGAGTTTCCATTTATGCAGTGAATGTTTATGTTTGTTTCTGGTGAAACGGTTTACATTATGCTTGTCAAAAGACATGTCATCTTATGGAAGTAAAAGAGGCCCTCACTGAAAACAGGAAAGCCCCTCGTGTGTTAGATTCAAGTTTCCATTACAGGCCCATTCTGGTCTTCTTTAAAAGGGTGTACCATCGTTACTATTTTCTTTCTTTCTTTTAATTAATTAATTAATTAATTTAGAGATGGAGTCTCACTCTGTCACCCAGGCTGGAGTGCAATGATGCGATCTTGGCTCACTGCAACCTCCACCTCCCGGGTTCAAGCGATTCTCCTGCCTCAGCCTCCTGAGTAGCTAGAACTACAGGTGCCCACCACCACGCCTGGCTAATTTTTATATTTTTTGTAGAGACGGGGTTTCACCGTGCTAGCCAGGATGGTCTCCATCTCCTGACCCTGTGATCCGCCTGCCTCTGCCTCCCAAAGTGCTGGGATTACAGGCGTGAGCCACTGCACCCGGCCAAAATCATTACTATTTTCATAATCAACTGCAGATGGTATTCACTCAGGGAGTTCCGCTTTCTACTACATACTAAACAGAAGACTAAACCTAAAAACAAAACAAAACATAGGATTGGGATTCTGAGCAAATATCAGAAGGAAAAATACATTTTGGCCATGAAATGAATTATTTCAAATAGCTGTGGTAGTAGTTCAATTTTATGAGTCAAAATTCTCATTTTAATGAATCAAATTAAATCATTAAACTGAAATCTTACTTTAGTTAATCAAAGTTCTCAATTTAATTTTAACGTTAAATGGTAGAAAACATGTTTATACATGTTAGATTAAATAGATCTGGTACAGCATGTCATCAGTGTGAACAGCTCCTGTTAAACTACTAATAATTTTTAGAAATGAAAGTTAAAAAAATAGTTATTCCGTATAGTATATTTGGCAATTCTCCAGGGTGAAATTGTAGGAGGATATTTTAATACCTTTGGTTGAGAACATTGTTTTACCTTTTGTTTTAAACAATGTGACCAGCGTAATGACTACAACAGTAAAACATCTGTAAACAGGATTAATCTGTTCTCTTTGTTACTCAGAATTAGAGATATCCCACCCCCTCGTAAGCTACATTAGTGTATTTAGAATAAATGTATATGAAATTAATTTTCATTCTTTTCGAACTGAATAAAATTAATTGAATAAGTTTTCTAACTTTTTCTGTACTCCATGTAATAAAAACACTTGTTTTGATATTAAAATGTTATTAAGTTATTACAATGTTTCTCAAACATATGAAAGTCATCTCCATTTTATAGAAAAAGAGAGACTTGACTAAAGAAATGAAGAATACTTATTTAATTTTAGTTATGCTGTCGTGATTTAAGAGTGTCTGATATTAAATATTAAGCATTAAATATTAAGCATTAAATATTAAGTGTCCTGGTTCTGTCAAATCTTCCCATGGAAGATCCTTGAGATAATTTCAGGGGGAAAAGAGGACTTTCCACACAGGACATCAGTTGCTTTGCTCCCATAGTTCTCTGAAAGCATTCATATGTATTGTGTCTGGAATTTTATTATGTACATTTACACGTTAAGTTGTTTTCACCGGCCCACATGTTTTCCACCACGTGCTCGTGATAACTGAGCTTCCAGAAGGCAGGTCTGGATAGTAGATTAGGAGGGCGGCCCCCGTTTCTCAGGCGGTGATGAGAGGCTCTGAGCCCGAGCCGTCATCGTGAGGAAGTCAACAACAGATGGAAACACGGCTCGCGCCCAGCATCACCCCACCGTGCAGTGAGCGGCTCTTCCTACGGAAATTGGTGAAATACTTGACTTTCTGTTTCTTAAATACTTTAAGGGCATAAAAGCCACATGTACTGCTTTGAAAATACAAATCCTGGATGTACCGAGTCAGAACTTCTGTAAGTGAGCCGAGGCGCAGGCGGCATGAAAACAGTCCCAGCAGGCGTCCACACGCCTGTGCTGAACCACCTCTGCTTTAAACCCTTCCAGTTAACAACACGTCCGGCCCCGTTACATTAATTGTGTGGGTATGTTATTATTCTATAGAAACATATATAACTAATTATTATGTAATTATACTGTGATCATTAATAATATAATTTTACGAATCGTGTATGTTCTTATTTTATAGAAACTTAACCAGGATATACAGGCGTTTCATTCTTCTTCTCGGGCACTCCTAAGAGATTATCAGGATGAGTATCAGGACCGTGTTTCTGCGATAGTGACCGCGGTGCAAAGAACACGGCAGAGCGCCGAGACCCTGCTAGGTAGGAGGGGCGTCAGTCCACACTCAAGAGAAATGTTTGCAGTTTTAAGACAATGACTGGCTAGAATTTAAGTTTCCATTTCTTTTTCCTTTTAGCTGACACCTAATCCCACAGGCGAGGGTAGGCACCGTGTGATTCGGCCACGTTGGCGTGTGCACTGCTCCCTCCCAGCTCCCACTGCAGCCCCACTTGCCAGGGGAGCTCCTTGTTCTCTTGGTCACCACAGGGCACTTCCCTGGCCTTGACGGTCACTACTGAACTGGCACCTGTGTCTACCTTGGGCATTCTGTGTCAGAGTTTCCTAAAATATGACGTGAGAGTTTTTTTTTTTTTTTTTTTTTTTTGTCTTATCAGTTCAGTTCTTTCTTCATTTCTAAGAATGCCACAGCATTTGGCTACTCTTTTGTTATAATGGATTTATTATCTTCAGCTACGGTGCTTGAAGCCTGTGGAAGAGGTTACTTTGCTTCTGCAGTTTTAAACTCATCGTCCAAATTGCACTATCCAGCCAGGCCCAGTGGCTCACGCCTATAATCCCAGCACTTTGGAAGGCTGAGGTGGGCAGATCACATGAGGCCAGGAGTTTGAGAGCAGCCTGGGCAACATGGCAAAAACCTGTCTGTACTAAAAATACACAAATTAGCTGGGTGTGGTGGCGCATGCCTTTGATCTCAGCTACTTGGGAGGCTGAGGCAGGGGAATCACTTGAACCCGGGAGGCGGAAGTTGCAGTGAGCTGAGATCATGCCACTGCACTCCAGCCTGGGCGACAGAGCGAGACTCCGTCTCAAAAAAACAAAAGAACCAAAGAGCACCGTCCCCACGTTCGTCTTGTGCTCACAGCTTCTGTCCAGTGTTCAGTGTGTCCACAGGCCAAACAGATGATTGTCAAGTTAGGAACTCGGTCAAGTGTTGTTCTGCTGTTATTGCAAAATAGGTGTGTGGAAACTTTGGAAGCTGTACTGTTTTTCTGCGAGGCTACGTGATGCTTTCTTGAAATCGCTGCAGTAGCCTAGTTGTCTTCAGTGCACTCTGCTAATAACTCCCCGGAGGCCGTGTTTGTAGAAGTGATGTGTGTACGCCTGTGTTCTTTTCTGTGGTGGGGGTGGGGGGACAGAGTCTTGCTCTGTCGCCCAGGCTGGAGTGCAGTGGCACCATCTCAGCTCACTGCAACTCTGCCTCCCGGGTTCAAGCGATTCTCCCGCCTCAGTCTCCCGAGTAACTGGGATCATAGGTGCCCGCCATCATGCCTGGCTAATTTTGTATTTTTAGTAGAGATGGGATTTTACCATGTTGGCCAGGCTGGTCTCGAATTCCTGACCTCAGATGGTCTGCCGACCTCAGCCTCCCAAAGTGCTGGGATTACAGGCGCGAGCCACCACACCCGGCAATGCTTGTGTTCTTGTAAGCCATGTGCTGCAGGGAAAGGGACGATCATTTTTGTGAAATGATTTTCACAGTAATTTTGTGAAAAGCAGTGTACCTAAGCTTTGAAAAGATGAAACTCAAAGGGAGAAGCAGGGAACAGCCAAGGCTGTCCCGCAGAGGGAATGCTGACATGTGAGGAGGCAGGGCCTGCTGAGACCCTGCCTGTGGGAGCCACGGTGCAGTCCCGCCACACAGAGGGGTCCCCAGGAGGCTTATTCCTGCCCAGGCATCAGGCTCAGGGGCTCGGGGCCTCCTTACCTGGCTTCCCGGGGGGCGCGACTTCTCCCCTCGAGTTCCACACTCCTCAAAGATGAGCCTCAGGTGCCCAGGCAACTCCTTTCAGCTGCCCTGACGAGAGGGATAGTGGGGACAGGCTGGTGGCTGGGGCCGGACACAGTCAAGGCTCAGAAGACCAAGTGACTGGGAGGGTCCCTCTCTCACTGTGGGGGACCCTTCCCACTTTCTTACACCCACATTCAGTCTGGACCTGGTAACGGGTGTTTCTTTCCGAAAGGGAGCGTGCATGGTTCTGCAAGTCCAGCTTGATTTCAGGCCTCATGAGAGCTGCATCTGTGCCGAGCGGGCCCTGTCTCTGCAGGTCCTCGGGCCTGGGGGAGAAAGGCCCGGCTGGGCTGCATCCTTTGGCTAAGTGACATCTGAAGGGGCCCCTGGCTATCGTGACTCATACAGTCACGAGGTGTCCCCTGCAGCACGACACCGCGCTCCGTGTCACCCTCACACTTCCTCCACCGCAATGGCCAGTCTGGGGATTAGGGTGTCCAAGCTCGGCCAAGGCGCCCACGCAGTGCCCACTCATCGCCACATCACCGAGGCGCCATCCTGGTGGGACAGAGGCAGGAGTGGAGGCCCAGACCAGCGTTACAATCCACAGCAGCAGAGCCCGGCCCCAGCATCTGCCTCCCTGCCCCACTCCCCCGCACCAAGGGCTCCCAGTGCGTTAGGAGCAGAGGCCTCCTTGGCTGCCGTGCAGACGATTGGGCAGCATTCAGGCTGATGACGGACGGGGTAACTGTGGGGAGAGGTCCCCCCGGTAAGCTCTGTGAGTCCCTGGTCACGGTGGGGACAGGGCAGCCTGGGTCCAAAGCGGTCAGGAGTACACACCACAGCATGCAGCTGGCCCTGGCAGACTCCATTGTTTTTAAAAATGTCTCCCATACTTAGAGAAAGGAATTTGACCTGCGGGGCCCCATGGATGTCCTCTCCGGTATAATGCCTCTGTCCCTGTGTCCTTTCAGTGTGCCAGGCGAAGGTGGTGCACCTGGAGCAGGCCTTGCAGGACGTCAGTGCGCGTCATCAGCTGGAGAGGCAGAGAAGGAAGGCCCTGCACAACAGCCTGGTGGTGAGCGTGGGTGTTGGGGAAAACTCGGGGCCGCCCCGGGGAGAAGCCCACACGGAACACGCAGGAGCCCCTCGCAGGAGGGTGCTAGGCAGGGGGGACAGCGGGGAGGGGGACAGTGGGGCGGCCTGGCCGGAGGGCAGAGGGGCAGAGCTGCGGGGGCTATGACCTGCGTACTCTTCACCCAGGAGGTGATGGCAGCTGGAGGAGGGTGAGGGCGCCGCAGGCTGATTTAGGCTTTCCGGGTCACTCTGGCTGCTCAGTCAGGAGGCCACAATGGGGAGCAGGGGGGATGACTGCAGTGTCACGGGGGCTGGCAGCCTGGGCCACGTTGGTGGCGATGCAGGAAGTGGGACCGGCTGCTGTGACGCACGAGGAAGGAGCTGTCACGGGAAGTCGGGAGCGCGGGAATCTGCGGAGATGGGGACTGGCACGGGAAAAGCAGGGATTCTGTTGTAACTGGAGATGCCGGTGGAGACTGCCCTGCCCCTTCTGTCACCAGCACCTTCCAGCCGTGTCTCTCCGTGCCCATTCACAAGACCGGGAGGCTCTCGTGCTTACTTAGTCGAAGGTATGAGACCTGAGATCCCATGAAACTTAACGTAAAGTCTCAGGGTTTGATTTTACAACACGAGGATGCCAAGGTGGATGACTGAGTTGGTGACCCTCGCTTCTGTGCGATTTGATTTTGATGGCTGCGCTTTGGCCAGTCTTTCCGAATTCCACCTGCCCGAGGCCCACGAAGCCGGTGTCCCTGCAAAGTTTCTCTCCCCTGGCCATGCTGAGAGGTTCCCCAGCTGTTAGATGTATCAAAGAATAATTCTCATTTTAAGCATCTACTTATGTAGTTCAGTGCTGCGAACATTGATATAAGAGGGCGTTTATTGAGTGTTTCCTGTGTACCAAGTACTTTTGAAAGCATTTTAGTGTATTTCTTACTTAATCTTCACTATAGCACCACCTCTCTGGGTTGTGATAAAGACAAAGGAAGATACCAGGGAAGCACCTAGCACTTCAGAAAGTCTCACTACACTGCAGCTTTTTTTTAAATCTGGAGTGTGAAAAGGACAAAATGAACCTTCCTAAGACGGAGGCAAGTCCCACAGGGAAGAATCGGTTGTGGAAGGTTCTGAGTGTTCCACCTCAAGCCTGGGTCTCCTGGTCTAGACGACGAGCGTGCAGTGTGTGGCCCGTGGAGAACATGCAAGCAGAGGCTGATCTCAGCTTCTGTGGGTTCATAGAGACCAGACAGAGGCTGTAAATCATTGGCCTATGACACTCACTCCGTTTTCAAACTGTAGAAGGAGCTGCTCATCACAACAGGCTGAATAAGCTCGCTGTGAATCCAAGACAGGATTTCAGAACGGATTCGGCAAGTGTCTGGGCATATACAGTAAAGATGTGTTGCTCACTGGAAACCAGTGGAGTTCATGAGAATAAAGAGTTTCTAATTTCCTTCCAGTCATTAAATCAAGGAAATACGACAGATATTGAATTTCCAGAATCCCCCCTAAAATACCTAAAAGGTTGAGCCCAGAATACCATTCAAAGGGATTTTCTTTGGTACTTATTAGCAAGTGATACCCCTTTGCCAAGTGAACACATTTGTGAAGTATAAATCCAGTTTAAAATAACTGTTCATGGCCGGGCATAGTGGCTCATGCCTATAATCCCAGAACTTTGGGAGGCCGGGGCGGGCGGATCACCTGAGGTCAGGAGTTCGAGACCAGCTTGGCCAACGTGGTGAAAGCGCTTCTGTACTAAAAGTACAAAAATTAGCTGGGTGTGGTGGTGGGCGCCTGTAATCCCAGCTACTCTTGAGGCTGAGGCAGGAGAATCACTTGAACCTGGGAGGCGGAGGTTGCAGTGAGCTGAGATTGCACCACTGCACTCCAGCCTGGGCGGCAGAGCAAGACTCCATCCCAAAAACTAAATAAGTAAATGAAATAACTGTTCACTGCCCTGCAGAGGCCTTTTGAAGTGGAGATGGGGCTGCGGATGTCACGGCCGCGTCTCAGGAGCTGGTGCTCGGTGCATGTTCAGTGGGGGACGCTCCGCAGTGCAGTCTTGCGCCCGGGTTGACATGCAGACCTCTTTATCATTGTAGGAGCTGAGAGGAAATATCAGAGTTCACTGTCGGATTCGTCCTTTGTTGCCTTTTGATAGTGAATCTGATGATCCAGTTTTGCAGAGCAGGTAACGTGTGTTTGCACGGTGTGTGTGTGTCTGTGTGTGTGCTCACGGAGAAGACAGAGGGGTGGCACAATTTTAAACGCCATCTATTGTCCTGCCGCCAGTCCCAAAGCAGCATATTCTCGAGTTGTGGGTGGGGGCTCTTTTTAAGGATGGAGCTGTCTTGCTGACAGCAGACAGCCAGCAGCCCTCTGGAGTACGGCCTGAACACAGCCAAACCGCCTGAGCAGGCCCGCCGTGCGTGGTGGCAGCTTGTACCTGAGAGGGCGCCTGTCTTTTCATGGTTTGCCTCTGCGGGGTCTGAACAAACAGGGACAGGCTTTGAATGGACCTTTCCCTTTATGTCACTACATCAAAAAGGGAGCACCCACTCTTCTTTATGAACCTGAGACCACCCACGCCCCTGTGCAGGCAGTCAGTGAGGATTGACTCAACTGACACTTTCGACTTAGAGAAAGTTTTGATGGTGTCCATGGATAAAGCAAAACTGTCTGAAGTTCATTTACTCAAATGTTTACTTGAAAACCATACTCAATATGACTCTTACTTGCTCCCCATGAAACAACACCCCTGGCCTTCCCCCTCCCATCCTGACCACACCTGCCCCTCCCCCTCCCATCCTGACCACACCTGTCCCTCCCCCTCCCATCCTGACCACACCTGCCCCTCCCACTCCCATCCTGACCACACCTGCCCCTCCCACTCCCATCCTGACCACACCTGCCCCCTCCCCCTTCCCATCCTGACCACACCTGCCCCTCCCACACCCATCCTGACCACACCTGCCCCTCCCCCTCCCATCCTGACCCCACCTGCCCCCTCCCCCTCCCATCCTGACCACACCTGCCCCTCCCACTCCCATCCTGACCACACCTGCCCCTCCCACTCCCATCCTGACCACACCTGCCCCCTCCCCTCCCATCCTGACCACACCTGCCCCTCCCACTCCCATCCTGACCACACCTGCCCCTCCCCCTCCCATCCTGACCACACCTGCCCCTCCCACTCCCATCCTGACCACACCTGCCCCTCCCACTCCATCCTGACCACACCTGCCCCTCCCACTCCCATCCTGACCACACCTGCCCCTGCCCCCATCCTGACCACACCTGCCCCTCCCCCTTCCCATCCTGACCACACCTGCCCCTCCCCCTTCCCATCCTGACCACACCAGCCCCTCCCACTCCCATCCTGACCACACCTGGCCCTCCCACTCCCATCCTGACCACACCTGCCCCTCCCCCTTCCCATCCTGACCACACCTGCCCCTCCCACTCCCATCCTGACCACACCTGCCCCTCCCACTCCCATCCTGACCATACCTGCCCCTCCCACTCCCATCCTGACCACACCTGCCCCTCCCCCTCCCATCCTGACCACACCTGCCCCTCCCACTCCCATCCTGACCACACCTGCCCCTCCCACTCCCATCCTGACCACACCTGACCCTCCCATTCCCATCCTAACCACACCTGATCCTCCCACTCCCATGCTGGCCACACCTGGCCCTCCCCACTCCCATTGTTGACCATACCTGACCCTCCTGCCACTCCCATTGCTGGCCACACTTGCCCTCCCTCCATCTCTGACCCTCTTGCCCTCCCTCCATAAACCTGCCCCTCACCACGCCCATCGCTGACCACACCTGGCCCTCCCCATGCCCACTGCTGACCACACCTGACCCTCCCCATGCCCATCGCTGACCACACCTGGCCCTCCCCATGCCCATCGCTGACCACACCTGACCCTCCCCATGCCCATCGCTGACCACACCTGACCCTCCCCATGCCCATCGCTGACCACACCTGGTCCTCCCCATGCCCATCGCTGACCACACCTGGCCCTCCCCATGCCCACTGCTGACCACACCTGACCCTCCCCATGCCCATCAGTGACCACACCTGACCCTCCCCACGCCCATTGCTGACCCTCCCACCACTCCAGGGGGTTCCACTTCCCTGCTTTCCTGACACCATATGGGGTTGGCTGTATCCACAGTGGTGGGGGTCACTAGGACCTGCTCCTGACTCTGTAGCTTTGCTCAGGCTGTTTTTCTTGTCTTGGGTTCCTCTGCTTAATCTGTCCAAATGAGCTTTCCTTGGAGGGCCTAGCTCGAGTCTCACCGTGTTTGCGTCCTGCAGTTCGGCACTTGACTTGAGAATGTTTCAGAAAGCACTTGGCGGGTCCTACAGTGTGAAACAAGAAATTCGGATCTTTTGACAATCATTGAAACTTTTTCTCCTCAAAGTTTTTAGACTTGATTGTGGCGGCTCTAGTACCTTCTGCACTTTCTTGAGTGGTGGCCACTTGTCACTTGTCAAAGGACTGGAAATTGGGCCTGTCGGGTACATCGGTGTGGCACGGGACAGGCCTAGTGGCCCTCATTCAAAACGTGTGGGACCCGAAGAAGTGTTTCCAGTTTTGAATTTTTTCGTATTTTCAAATGCTCATGTTTTGCATGTACCGGATCAGCAAGATAATGCAGTGAGCATTTTCTTTGAGCATCCTCTCAGTGCTCAAAACGTTTTGGATTTTGGAGCGTTTTGGATTTCAGATTTTTAGATGAGGGATGCTCAGCCTGTAGTTAGCGGTCCCCAGCGGTGACCAGCTTTCCTGAACTTGCCTTTTACATGGCACTTCCAGACGGCTTTTGTTACACACCAGCCTCCCTGCGAGCCTCCCACCACGAGAGGGAAATACATGCAAATGAATGCAAATGAAATCCCATCAGAAAAGGGGCTCCTCAGCTGCAGTAGCCTCATCAGAGGCGTGGCCTCGGGCAGGTGAGAAAACATCTGAGGCGTGGCCTCGGGCAGGTGAGAAAGACAAGCACGTTTCCATAGTCACAGAGGCTTGTTTCTATTGGATGGCGCCGCTCTGGGCTGTTCAGTTTCTCAGAGCTTCTTAAGAGGCTCCATAAACGTGTGTGTGAACTCTCACATTGTTTGTGTTCATTGGCTTTTGGTTTTGAAACATGTTGCATTTTTTTGGATTCATGATGGTTTGCAGATGCTTGATTTCCTGAAGGGGAGAACCTGACAAGCCTGTCTTCTAGATCAGTGGTCCCCAACCTTTCTGGCACCAGGGACCAGCTATGTGGAAGACAAGGTTTCCGCGGACTGGCAGGCCGGGACGGGGATGATTTCAGGATGATTCAACTGCATTTCATTTATTGTGCACTTTATTTCAATTATTGTAATTGTTTCAATTACTGTAATACACAACAAATTAATCATACAACTCACCACAATGTCAAATTGGTGGGAGCCTGAGCTTCCCTGAGCTTGTTTTCCTGCAACTAGAGGGTCCCCTCTGGGGGTAAAGGAGACAGTGACAGGTCCTCAGGCATTAGAGTCTCATAAGGAGTGTGCAACCTAGATCCCTCACATGCACAGTTCACAGTAGGGTTTGTGCTCCTAAGAGAATCTAATGCTGCTGCTGATCTGACAGGAGGCTGAGCGCAGGCGGTGATGCCAGTGATAGGGAGCGACAGTAAGTACAGAGAAGCTTTGCTCACTCGCTCACCGCTCACCTCCTGCTGTGCTGCCTGGTTTCTAACAGGCCTCCGTGGCCGGGGGTTTGGATCCCTTGTTCTGTATCACCACTGCTCTAAACTGCACGTGAAGGAGATATTTAAGCGTGGATTACTGTAGTATGGATGACTCCCATGCAGTGCAGACAGGGAAGATGAAAACAAGAAATAAAGAACAGGGGTATTGGAGTAAAAAAATCAAGAGAAGACAGAAGGCGGGGGAAAGAGACGAAAATAATAAATAAAAAGTAAAGAATAAAAAAAAAAAAAAAGGATAAGGTCAAAAAGGACAACGAGTGGAGTTTTAGAAAGGGATGGAAGGGTGGACCCACGCACACAGGAAGAGAGAGAAGAGCCAAGCCAGGGTCCTGGGAGATCAGGACAGAGACAGAGATGATGGCAGAGAAGCACAGGGGTGTTTTAGAGTGACCAAGACAGACACAGAGAGGATGGCGAAGAAACACAAGGGTGTGTTAGAGGCTGAATGTTAGGAATTCAGAAAGCAATTTCCTCATGACGTGTATTTTCAATGTTGTTTTATTCCTGCAGCTCCATCTCTAGAGAAGTGGCCCATGCTGTTGATGACGTGAGTATATAATTTTCCTTGCAAACTCTATTCAGAGAGCGGCTTCCTGCTTGGTGGGTCTCCATAGTCCCCACAGATCCCTACAATGGAGAGCAACTCAGAGGCTGAATGAATAGAAAGTAACTTATTTTAGGCTTTCTTAGTTAAGAAGAATTTTTTTGTTGTTCCTTGATTTCTATTGGCACATGAAATTAAGCATTTGACACGCTTTCCTTGTGGGAAACCAGCTCCTGACCCGTAGTGCTATGTGAGGAAGTTACTTCACTTCCATTTATTTTCCAGCCCAAATGATCAATGAGTGCAAATATGAGCAGGTTCTAAAATGTAGAGCACCAGGAAAAGAGACATAAATAGAAAATCAATGATATCAAGTGTGAACTTTGTGATTCTAAACTGGAATCAAGCGTAATTGTGTTTCTCCTGAAAAGCCTCCGTGCTTTTTAGTTTTAGCCATGAAAAGGCCGAGAAGTCAGAAGGAGCAGCCCAACACCCCAGCTGGGGTCTCTGAGGACCAAGCCCACTGCAGGAGAGATGCTCATTAGACAACTCGAGTCTGGGCTGGGAAAGGAAGTGGGTGGGAGGAGCCTGGGGCGCTTCCGGGCTGAACAGCAAGGGCGGCCTCAGAACGGGGGCGGGGGGAGGCTGTGCCCCAGCACATGGAGCCCACCTCAGGCACTCCCTCAACGCGGGATAGAAGCGTGGGGATTAAGGAGGGACTAGAGCAGATTGAAATACATCATTATATTTACAATCTTGAGTTCATAATAATGATTTTTTAAAAGGACCTCACATTACTTTTTTGGGTGCTAGAACATCGACTCATTATTCTAAAAAATGATGGAAAGAGGAAAGCGCTGTAACGTCCTTCCTGTAGGAAACATACTCAGGGCAGATGCATGGTTTTTGAGGGAACAGAAGATTCTAGGTAATAAACTCAACAAATGATAAAACTGGAAAACCATCATCTGAAACCCCCAGTGAAATAGTGACTCTAGGCTCCTCAGAGGACGCTGGTCAGAGTTGATGGGATCTTCACGACAAGGGCTCAAGGTTGCCTCAAACCCTCTAAGCATTCGCAGCTCCCCTGAAGTTGGGATGCAGAGACAGGATGTCCTGAGAAGGTGCAGCAGGTGGGACACAGCGGGACTGATGAAGCACTTTTGCTTCAAAATCAAACCAGCATCTACTCAAGTCTCAAGGACTGTCATTTTAAAGGAGAGGAAACCATCTGCCAAGTCCAAAGTGTGGACATTTCACAGAACAGACTGCCTGCCTTCTCTAATAATAAGTTTTGTTTTTAAAGGCAGGAGAACACAGTAGAATGAGATGAGTCAGCCTCAGTGCGACCTGGTTTGGAGCCTGGCGTGCACAAGCCGATTGTCACAGGCATTGTTGGAACAGTGGGGGAAGTCCGAGTGTGTCCTGGGTGTGTAGGGAGCAAACCTTCTCCTGTACCCTCCTAGGGTCCCTGGCAGGGCCTGAGAATGGAATTGGCCTAAGGCAGGTTGACGGGGTAGAACATCGGATTTGTTGAATGTGGGGTCTACCTGACACGGAGCCCCACGGGAAAGGAAGACTGATGAGTGGCACAGCCTGCACGCTGCCCTGTGGTGTTGGGCAGAGGCCACGGTGGACAAGCCACCAAACAAGATGGGAGATGGAGGGAAGGCGAGGGCTGTGCTAACAGGTCTATCTGTGCAGAGCCACTCAGCTTCGACCCTGTATTCGTCAGGGATCTCTAGAGGGACAGAACTAATGAAATAGATGTATATGTAAAGGAACAGTTTATCAGGTATGAACTCACACAATCACAAGGTCCCTCCACAGCCATCTGCAGGCTGAGGAGCAAGCAGAGCCAGTCCAAGTTCCAAAACTGAAGAACTTGGAGTCCAATGTTCGAGGGCAGGAAGCATCCAGCACGGGAGAAGGATGTAGGCTGGGAGGCTAGGCCAGTCTCTCTTCACAGTTTTCTGCCTGCTTTATATTCAGCTGGCACCTGATTAGATGGTGCCCACCCAGATTGAGGGTGGGTCTGCCTTTCCTAGCCCACTGACTCAAATGTTAATTTCCTTTGGCAACAGCCTCACAGCCACACTCAAGATCAATACTTTGTATCCTTTAATCTGCTGATCAAGTGGACACTCAGTATTAACCATCACAGACCCCAGCTACCAACGAGAACATGCTTTGCTCCTGGCCCAGCAAGGGCGGCTCTTCATGGGAGGGTCAGGTCCTGCCTTCAGTGCAGGAGGAAGAGGGGAAGCCGGAGTGCTCCGCGTGAGCCTCCGGCTTCTCAGGAGCCTTTAAGTAAAGATAATCCTGATGCCAAAGTGGCATATTTTGGGGTGACATGTTCTGCCACTCTCCATGTGACCCTAATTTTATAAAGTGTGATGAATGGCATGGTGATTGTATTGTATAATTTCTTGGTTTTTTAGAGATGGGAGGTCTCACTATGTTGCAGGCTAGTCTTGAACTCCTGGCTCATGTGATCCTCCTGCCTTGGCCTCCCAAAGTGCTAAGATTGTAGACCTGAGCCACCACACCGGGCAAATTGTGCTTTAAAAGTGTTCTTATCATTTAAAAATGCAGCCTGTAATACTTAGCGATAAAACGATCCGTTGTCTGGTTTTGAATGTAAAGTATGCCGAGGAAAGGGAGGTGGATTGTGCAGGAATATCTGTAAAATAAGATTGTCCGGATGTTCAGCACTTGTGGTGCCGGGTGATTGCACCTGAGGACGTGTCGTGCTGTTTCCCCCATTTCTGCGTATGTTAAAAAGTCCCCAGTGAGAACAGTTAAAAAAAAAATGCTGGGGCCTCTCCTTCATTCTGCTTATTATGGTGATCACAAGATGAATTTAGAAAGCACATGAAATGCTAACCATTTCACTAACATTGATAATTTTGAATTTAACATGAAAGTCTCAGGTCACGTAGGACACGATGGTCATTTTGAAGATGATTTTGTGTCACGTTGATTACCATACGTCTCGTTTGCGGTTCTACAAGGCGTGTCACCTGAATCAGTCTGATGATGGTTACATATTGCAAACTTTAGAAACCCTTTTTTAAAAGGTAGTTTTAGTTAATGGATTATATTTTTTTTAAAGAGGCCAAGAAAATTGATGTAACCGTACTTTAAAACTATGTCCCTGGAAAGAAAAACTTTTACAATTCTTTATTTTAAAGTATTATTGATGGATTGATTGATTGATTCATTGATTGATTCAGCTTTATTTAGGTAAAATCAACAAAAATTGTATATATTCAACATCTACAAGATAATTTTATATACAGATGTATATGATTACCATCCATTGTTGGATGACACGTGGTAATCAATTTTACAATGAAGGCCCGGCGCAGTGGCTCACACCTATAATTCTAGCACTGTGGGAGGCCGAGGCAGATGGATCACCTGAGGCCAGGAGTTTGACACCAGCCTGGCCAACATGGTGAAACCCCGTCTCTACTAAAAATACAAAAAATTAGCTGGGTGTGGTGGTGGGCGCCTGTAGTCCCAGCTACTTGGGAGGCTGAGGTAGGAGATCGCTTGAATCTGGGAGGCAGAGGCTGCAGTGAGCTGAGATTGCATCATTGCACTCCAACCTGGGCAACAAGAATGAGACTCCATCTCAAAACAAAAACAGAAGCAAAAACAAAACATACAATCAGTAAAATGATTACCACAGTCAATGGTAATGACCCCCAGGATGGCTAAAGAGTAAAAGGGGGATTTTATTGGTGATATCAGTTTGCAAACTGAGAAGAGACAGTCTCCAGCTCTCTCTGTTAAAAGGTGAACTGTAGGACACAGAGTTTGTGCACAGTCTGTATAAGCTGGTCAAAAATAGCTGGAGGTCTGCAGCTGCTTCTCAGGAAAGAATTGTGCAAGGCTGATCCTCTGCCTAATCAGGGTTGCAGTGGTCTGGGTTGTAAATCAGAGTTAGGGATTTTCCTGATGGCTCCTGTTGTTAGGGAGTTTAGCAAGAGTGTGGTTTTTCTTGTAGCCATAGGAATTTAGGACGCTGTCAGGCAGCCAAGCCCTAAACCCCTGACTCATAGGTACCTTTTATTTCCTTAACCTTAGGGTCCATCTTAGTTGATGAAGAAGCATCTATTGGTCTCTCAGATCACGTCTCCCACTTGTGGTCAGTCATAGCTTGGATTTCTGTGGGCTCATAGGTCTCTTATCTTAAATGGCCTGAGAGGGAACTTCATGGATTTGTTGTTCTTTCCTTTAACAGAACATTCTCTTTAGTTTACTGTATGCATTTGGCCTACCTTATGAAGGAATACTGTATGGATTTGGCCTACCTTATGAAGGAATTTCTTCCTTGAAGCCAAAAAAGATTCCCATGAAACTTTTCCTGAAGCATTTCTTCTATGTTTTCTTCCAGTAGTTTAATCACTTTGGGCCTCACATTTAGGTCTTTGATCCATTTTGAGTTGACCTCTGTATAGTGTAAGAGGTGGGAGTCTAGTTTCATTCTTCTGTATATGGATTTCCAGTTTTCTTAGTACCATTTATTGAAGAGACCATCCTTTCCTCAATGAGTGTTGCTGACATCTTTGTTAAAAAATCTGTTGGCTATAGATATGTTGGTTAATTTCTGGGTTCTCTATTCTGTTCCACTGGTCTATGTGTTTGTTTTTATGCCAGTACCATGCTATTTTGGTTACTATAGCTTTGTAGTATATTTTGAGAGCAGGTAGTGTTATTTCTCCAGCTTTGTTCTTTTTTTCTCAGCATTTCTTTGGCCATTTGGAATCTTTTGTGGTTCCATACAAATTTTACAATTTTTTCGATTTCTGTGAAAAATGTCATTGGTACTTTGATAAGGATTGCATTGAATCTCTAGATTGCTTTGGGTTATATTGCCATTTTAACAATTTTAATTCTTCCAATTCTTGAGCATGGGATATCTTTCCATTTGTTTGCATCGTCTTCAATTTCTTTCATTAGTGTTTTGTAATTACCCTTTTAGAGGTTTTTTA